GGTCACCAATGTTCATGTTCGTGTAGCTTAATAATGATGGTTAATTCATTATTTAAACATAAACTTTAATAAAGACAATTTCTAGGATATACAATTATTTTTTTTTCTTCTTAATGGCGGGCACTTGGAGCTATTGCCCATTGGCCACAGAAAGTGCCAGAACTGCTAATTCTCTTTTCGTTACCCAGTGGGACCTGTGGCGAAGCCACGGCGGTGGAACAGCTTCGCCCACGTCACACTACCACAACCCGTTTATAGGGCGGGTCACATTCACACACAAAGGAGAAAGGACATAGAACACAGGAGGGAAAGAAACATCCATGCCTTGCCCGGGATTCGAACCCAGAACCTTTCTGATGCAAGGACAGTTCCCTGCCCCCTATACAGACTGGTCGGCGGATATACATAAATGAGAAGTTACTTACGGTTCTTACGGTTAACCCAAAGTTCGAAGTTGAAGTAGTGGTTTCTGTCTGTGGCGCGCTTAGCGCCATCTTACGCTGAACACAGAGCCATGGTTAAGCTCTGCCGCAAGTGTTTCTTCCTTGAATCTATCTTTGGTAGAAGATAGAAGGACAGTGCTGCATGTTGAGCAATGATTTGCAAAGATTATGTTTGTAACAAACATCTCATTGCCTTCCTTCGTATTCCTGAATTTGTTAAACGTAACGGAAGCATCCGGAAGTTTCCGGACTTCCGCTTAATAGCCTATTCTGTAACACTTAAACCATCGTAATACTCTCTTAGTCGTGACTCTTTTCCATCCAACTTTTAACTTGTTCTGCAGCATAACTGAAATGCTGAGCTTTAATAATTAAGATGACCCAATGGTTACCCATTCTCTCCATCATAGAAAAGCATGCCGCTTTGTCTGCACTTTTTTCGACCTTATTTTGAACTTTTTTGTCTGCCTATGTTTGTTCTCTTCAAGCTCACCATCTGCTTCGTACTGGATTAGTTGAGGTTTTCTAATTGCCGGCTTGCAGCAGGAGTATTTGTCCCCAAGGACCACCTTTTAATTATTGTTTTAGCAGTGTCACGATTTCAGTTTGGTTTTCAATCGAAGCACAGCGAATTTTCTTTAACCTTTTAATCTAAAGCTTTAGTTTCGCAAGATCAACAATATTCTGGACCAATTTCTTTAGTCTCTTCTGACGTGGTTTTTTCTTTATGCGGTCTGACTGTCAGGGTGTGTTCGTGAGCAGATAACGTGCCTTCGTGTTTTATTTTGGTTCTTATGGGAACTCCTTTAGTAGTCACATCTGAATTTTCGAAATTTGTTTCATTGTTATCTATTAAAAGCCTTTTTATGAATCCCTTCTCTTCCATAACGGTGTTCCGTTGATTAATTTTACCCTCAAGCTCTATTGTGATCTACATTTATCTCTGAACAAACTTTTGCTCCCAAAGCTCTTTCGTTTATTGCTTATATGCTAATCAACTGTTGATTTAAAATTATTGCTTTCACAATCCACTTCTTTTGGACTTTCTCTAAACTGAAGTAGAACTTCCCGTCAGACTCTGATTGATCCGAGTCATCTGTCACAGGATTGAGGTAATAATTCGAAGCAAGGAAAAATAAAAGTGCTTGGTGTTTATAGAAAGAAAATGTCTGAGCTCTATTTCTGATCTCGGCACACGGTGGCCACGTAGAGTGCTCACAAGTGCACCTCCATTAGGTGTGGGTGCGGAAAACGGAAGTCTTAAATGGAGAGCCTTCTTCATTGTATTTCGGTGAAGGATATCATTTCCAGAAAGTTTTCTCCACATAGAAAAATTTTTCTGATGAAAATTTTTGTTTACATTAGCTCAATCTAGAACGCATCTGCGAGTGAAAGCGTAAAAGATTCTAAGAAAATTTCATCCGAAAATTTAGCTTTTTGTTTACGCAGTTATCTTACTTTATAATATTTAAATGATAATATTCCGCTTATTTTTTAATTGTGACAATATTAGTTCTTTATCATTAGCTATAAATGAATAAAAGAATATTTCGTATTTAAACAAATTCTTCGACAAAAGAATGTTCCTCAAGCTAAAAGATGCATTATAAACATTATAAAGTGTTTCACAATCAATACAAGAACTTTTTTATTCCTTTTTCATGTTATCTTACCAAGGATAAAAGGAAAAGCAAAAAAAAAATCCAGTGTTTCACCCAATTTTCAATGACATGTAACCTCACTTTTCGGAACTTGTAATTTTGAATTTACATTAGTTTATTTTAACCGAACAAATGATATAATATACAAATTAAAAAAAAGTGGAATAAGAAAAATCACTTTTATGACTGAGGACACAATTCTAGTGGCAACGCCTTTATCGACAGAATTCGAGAGTTCTACTTTGACAAACGACTTGGCAAGAGTTGTCGCTCTCGTTTTCGATCGTCTTTTTAGTTTTTATTCTTCTTCGGGAAGAAGATTTTTGAGATCCCCGGTATCGTTTGGTTCTGGGCGGGTCCGACATGCGAATCCGACGTCCAGAAGCCCCCCTTTCTTCCCTTTTGACGTTTGCTTTCCCAGTAATAAATGTTCGCCCCGCCGATAAATTCGCATTTGTCACCTGGTTCTGTTAATTACAGCTAATGATGGCGACGGGCCACGCCTAGCTAACCCCCTCAGATCAGCGTAATGACGTCGTTAACTTTGTTTCACCCCCGGTCCATATACCCCTTTTCTTCGTTCTTCTCTTTCGCCCACATTCTTCCTGCGGTGTGCCTTGTTTACTTTCGTAGTGTTCTTATTCCCCACTCCCATTCCTGGATAGTTTTAGCAGACGACATTTTTCAAACGACTTTTCAAGAATGTTGCCAAAAGAACATTTTTAGAAAAGAATGAAATTGCGACAATCGTTTGGAATTCTTTTGTTTTGGTCTCGTGTTCGAGTTAAAATTTTCAAGTTTCCTCTAACAATTCATCAGTTAGAATAGTTAAGAGTATATAATTTGAAACCGAAATAAATGTTTAAAAAGAAGCGAGGAGAAACATTTAAAAGAACGAAATTTATCATCTTTGTAAGTCTTCCAAACGACGAATCGAATGGGGAATAAATAAAAATTATTATTTTATTTATTCTACATTTTTAAAGACATTGCAGTGTCTATTCCTTTGGAAGCTTTCTCTCTCGTAACCTAACTATCAGACTGTAAACGGAGAAAGAGAATATTTAAATCTTATTGATTTTTACCTCAGAGAAATTTATGTTTCTAAATAAAAGCACAATAAAAAAAAATTCAAAACGTTACTATAATATACGTGATCCTATCTTTATTCAACAATTTTTATTAAAATGAAGCTAATAACTAAATTTTTATTAAAATCAAATCAAAGAGCTATGGAACCCAGAGAAGTATTAGTCATTCACACTACAAGTATAATCGTTTAGACGTAAACAAGAATACGACTGAGGCACTAACTTATAAACTGTAGAGTGCCATGCCAACTAATATTTAAATCTACCGTATCAACTAACCGTTTCCTTTTAGTGCTGGTGAGAGCATATGGTCCTGTTGGTCTATGAGAAACTTGTCAGAGTAGATTATCGTTCATGATTTTTACAAATAAACTGAAGGTAGACATATATTCTATTTGGTCAATTAATACCTTTTGAAACATTCAAAATTTATAACTGTAACCAATCAAAATGATAGACATATTGCGGGTGTCATTTTAGAATTTTAGCAATTTTTCTTCGTTGACAAAACTAAACCAATGCAAAATTTAAAACAGGATTTTCAGAAAGATAATTTAGTTTTTCCTCACTATGCAAAATCATTTATTTTTTATTTTATTCGAACAAGCTATTTCCAGTCTATTTCAATAGTTTATTGAAATCGCTATTATATATATATATAGTTTTTACAGCAATATCATATAAATTACTATATAATTTAATGAAAAGAAAGCGATAAAATGAAGAAAGAGACATTTCATTAAATGATGAAAACATTTATTCATTAAAATTAAATTACACGACACAAAGTTCCTCATAACAGAAACTGTTCAAAATTGCTAAGATTTAGATAGGCTTCACGAATTCGAAGTAGTGACCGCCCTTCATCGGGAAAACAGGCTTATGATGTCAGCAGCTACGGATATCCGAGAAGCAAGGTTTTTAGTAGAATCTATTGAACCATTTTATTTTATAATCGGTGTTGAACAGCCGACCTAATTCTGAGTTTACGACTACCAATGTTCAACTCCGTAGCCTTGTAATTTTGAGCCTAATCCTGAAGACAAGGGAACTCCTAGATCAAGTATAGAAAAAAAATTGCCATCGAGGAGAACTTTTTAATGGAACTAACCCACATTTGCGTTACATGGTGAGGAAGACCACTTAGCCTGGTGGCAAGGGGACTCTAACCCCTCATCCGTGTACCACTGAAGATGTTTTAAGTCAGCATTGTGGTCGGTACGAACCGGGTATGGAATTCGAATCGACCATTCGAACTAGTAGTTCACCTCATTGGAAGGCGAACGCTCTATTCCCTGAGTCACCTCGGCGATAGATTAGGCTCTTCAGATGACCCCACAAGAAAAAGTTCAGCACCAAAAAAAAAGTCCGCGCCCTTTAGCGCTTTAGGACGTGCATTCGGACCATAGATTATATGCTGATATGTGCTTGTCTAGTTGTCTTCTATCACCCCTAACATAAGTATCATGAATTTCGTGACACCTTATATTTGTGTGTGTATAAAGGTGTGTAAAGATCATTCCTAAATACTTCTGCAATCGAAATAGTGTAATTCTAAACTGGCTAAGCACCCTAGCTTGTGAGTTATTATTATTATTATAATTTTTTTTTGATTATTTAAATTTCCTACAGTTATTTTACTATGTTATTCTAAAACTTTTAATCTTAGAACTATAAAATATAAAACTTAGCTGAAACTTATGAAGTAATTTTCAATCTTTTTAACCCGTGATAAACTTTTAAGCTATTTTTGTTTCAATATTATTTTTTCTTTTTCAAATTGTATTTGCATTTTCTTTTTTCAGCTTCATCAACAGCTTCCGACGAAGTTGCCAGGCAACATCAGCAAATGGTATCAGCACTTTCAAATATTACCAAACATCCAGGAGCGCCTGGTAAGTAACATAATATGCATGTCTTAATAATTGTAGGTAATTATAGGAGGAATAAATACACATTTAATAGTTTTTTATAAGAGTACTACATTACACATTTAATAGTTGTATATAAAAAAACTGAACATTTATTAGTTGTATATAAAAATACTGCATTACACATTTAATAGTTGAGTTCCGCATAACCTTTTGTTAAATAACATATTGGTTGATTAAAGTAAATTACGAATATAGTGAATCAGGATAGTTAAATAGTGATAGTTAAATAGTGAATCAGGATAGAAATTATTATATGCTAACAGTTTGGGTACACTTTTTTAAACAATACATTTCAGTAACATTTTCTAGATTGCCCAAGGTAGTAATTTCGATTGCTTTTTAACTTCTTTTTCAATTTCAAAAAATGTACAATTAATAATGCATAAATAACTTTCTTTCCAAGTGAAGTAAATTTTTTTATTGTTAATATTTACTAAAAACTTGTTATATAACTGTAAATAATATAAAAAATATGAAGCATTAATGAAACAAATTTATTTACACATTAGTTATTCTTTTACTATCCAGTCATTTTGACTGCTTTTGGGCAATACAGGTATATACTAAATTTCAGTCTTTCTAGTACTTAAATAAACTACCAATATATCTTTAAAAAATATTTAAATACACTGACACTATCTTTTAAACAATATTTAAATTAACTAATAATATCTTTTAAGCAATATGTATACACTTACACTATCTTTTAAAAAGCACTTATATTAACCAACGTTATTTCATAAATAATATCGATATTATCTTTAAAACAGTTCTTAAATTAACTAACAATATATTTTAAACAATACTTAAATTCACCATTATCAGTCGAAGTTACACGTGAGGTAAAAAAATTTTTTTGTGTTCCTAAATATTTTTCTTTAATTTTAATGTTGTCAGAGATTTTACGTTCATTTTAAAAATGTATATTTCATTGTACACTGAGTAATTTTAACTTTGATACAATTTGAACTAAAATAAATAATTAAATGAATTAAGTACTTTAATACTAAGTACTTTAGTGAAGTAAAAACAAAACATAAACGTTATCAAAATCTGATGATCAGTTTTCAAGATGAGAAAGGCAAGATAAAAAACAATTAAAAAATTTTTTAACCAGATTTTCAAAAATTAAATTTGCATAGATATAGATCTATAAAGCAAAGAAAAAATACAGCATTAAAATCTATTTACTTCTTTCATAAAATATTTCTTCTGAGATTTTATATTTTCTACATAGTTTGCTTTGCATACTACTAGCGACAGGGGAAAAATGTAATCTACATGGTTCCTTAAGTGGTTCTAAATTGGAAAATATTGATTTTTATAACTTGCAATTCTTCGTAAAAATTTAAATTTGAAATATTTCCCCCGACAAATAAGTTTTCTATTTTACCTAAGACATTAAGTAATTAACGAAAAAATCTGAAGAAGAAAAAAATCAAAGATGAAAACATGAAGGATTCACACGCAATTTAATTTGAACTCCTGTGTCTCAATTTTTCAAAACGACTCACCGAGAAACACAAATCCACTTAGCAAGTTTTCCGACGTATTCCGGACTTACGAAAGTCCTGCCATTGCGAGAAAACTTTTAAATTTCAAGAACCCGGAGTAAAAAAATAACTGCAACCGTAATTACCCCCCATTACTTCGTAATTAGGTCCAAACTTGTTTAATCAAAGCAATCAGTCGCAATACTTTTTTTTCTTCCCTATTTTTCTCTATCCCCAATTGTTTCTACGTATTCACTAATTACTTTCGGGCGAACTACGTCCCCACTTTTCCCTTTTTTGAGGTGTTACTTCTCAAAGATTCCACGTGTTTGGATGATTTATCTGTAGACATTACTCCAATCCCAGAAGAAATTATTTGAACAAACAACAATAAACGAAACAGTTAAATAAAAAAAAAGCAGACGATTTCGCTCAAACTGTCAAGTGTGTTCGAAGTGGAACATTAATTATTCGAATATTTGGTAAAGAGGAGGCCCTCGCTGTCAGGAACACGGTGTGGGAGGATCGATATTCAGCTCAGAACCAAAACATTTCCCTGATTGTATTAGTTCCAATTGCCACTGAAATGCCAACCCCTTTGTTATTCCTGTTTCAGTGCAATCGAATTTTGGAAAACACATTCCACACAACATTTTTGGAATAATAGCTTTAGTTTTCCTGAATAATAACTTTTAAAAACACAAAATGCTTCTTGATGAGAAGAATAAATAAATTCCATAGCATTAGATGCTGAATTCCTTATTATTTCGCCTAAATTATTACAAAATTTGAATAAAGTCTTTTGTATTAATACCGACTGTTTACATTACCATCATATTACTTAAATACATATAGTTTATATTATTACCCTGAATTTTAAAAGAAATCAAAATTTGTGACCAAATGTTAATTATGTCAGAAACTGACCAAACCAGAGATTTGTGACATTTCAAAGTCTATGGCAGTTTAATACGTATTAAAAATTTAGTCAAAACTTGAAAAATGGAACAAAAATAATAATTGATAGGAAAGTCTTAAGTACAGGTGAACATAAATGTTTCATTATTATTGTCTTAGGTTACATTAGGGAACATTTTTTTGTTTGTTTTCTGAAGCAAGAGATTTTTTTTACCAGATCTGAAATACTTTTGTATCGCTGATTTCAAATTTGCAATCAGTTTCTTTCTCAAAGCTATAGTTTTTCTATTTCCTTTTTTTCCCTTTAATTGACATTTTTAGTCTATTTTTTCTCGAAATGCAAAAGTTTAAAAACTATATATTTTACAGAGATTCGCATAACTGTTGCAACAACTTCTAGGGCAGTTAGTGCACATCGTCAGGATTAGTTTTTGTTATTGTTTCCCTAATAATTGTTATTGGTTCGCTATGTAAGCTATTGTTTTTTGAATTCTTGTTATGAGTCAATTCAAATTTTTTAGGACAATAAAATTTTTTTTTTAAACATTTGTTTAATGCTATTCGATTTATTGAAAAGATAAGAGTAAAATAGAAGCGCATGTTAATCGATTTTTGAAAAATGTTAATTTTTCCAGATTTAAAAAAAAATGTTACAATCGCGTCTAAGTGCAAAACTGCAGATTGAACTACTGATTAATTCCTCCAACATACCGATTACTAAGCTAACTTGTAATAAGTTTTCCGATGTTTCACAGATTCTAGATTTCATTTTTTTCAAACTCACTTTGCATTATCATTGGTTGTTACATTAAAAAAAAGAAAACAAAAAAGGGATTATGAAAATAACTTTGAACCAAACATATATTGTTTGTTAAAAGCTTGTCTAGTGTCAATATCAAAATTAATTGGTAAAAATTTATGTTTAGAAATGTAAATAAGATGTTAAAAATAAATGCAAATAGGAAGTGCATGAAAAATCTCCTGAATAAAAGCCCATTACATGTATGTTTAACTATAAAAGTATTACACACTAACTCGTACAAAACATGTAAACATTAAAAAACTATAGTTCCTCTAATAATTTGGTTTAATTATTACAATATACTAATATAATACCTGATATAATAAAAATTCTATATTTATATAATATATCGTCTTATTTATCCAGTCGTCAAACTTACATTATATATCGTTTAATTCAACCAACTGATACACGAATGTAAACAAGTTCAAACCGGTTTCAGTCATGTAAAAGCAATAAAGCTGTATAGTATCAACTGATAATTAAGATTTTTTTTTCACATAGAATCTAACAGTGCGTCTAATAATTTGGCCAGGGACTGTATCTATCTATCTATCTGTATGTCTGTCTACCTGCCTGCCTGTCTGTATATTTTTTTCAAGTACAGATGATTATTTTTAAAATCTAAGTAATTGTCTGCTTGCGATTAACTCATTAACAAAATGTTCTTTCATAAAGCTACAATAACTCCCTATTTTGGTACAGAAATATTAAGTTTTTTTCTGGGAAATATTTAAGTTTCAGGAGAAATATAAACAATGACGAATGAGAATCAATTACGGGGGTTGACGAGACGAGCGAGATGGAACGGAGCTTCTTACTTGGATAAAAAATTGATTTGTTTAACAAAGTTAACAGATAAGTTAACCTTCCCAAATTTCGACCCCGAAATTTAGTTTCCAATTCAATCTGCATGATTGCTTTTCCACTCTGTCCTCAAGTCACTCATAGCATTCAATGGAGAAACAGTGCTTGGTAAGAAATTGTTATTACAAAATTGCCCTTTGTAGCACTCAAGTTAAAATAAATAATTGAAATCATTCACTTTCTGATTGCTTTAAACAGCTATCAACAAATGAGATCTATTACTATTTCTCAAAATATCTGTACTGCAGTAGTTTTAAGTTAACTTATTTTAAAAATTAACATCTTACTGTCTGCAAGTGATCCAACAGCATACGCTCGGCCGCAGAACTGCCGTTCGAACTATCGCACTGGAGTATCTGCGTATGCTCAGATTAAATATTTTGTTTTCTGATATATTATAGGTTAATTAGCTTATATAAAATCTTATTATTTCATGATATAAATGATAAATGAAATTTATTTGTTAATCAACTGATAGCTTATAGATATAGGCTATCGGTTGGTAAGCGCCGGCAAAGTATTAATTTTACTCAGTTAATTAATTCTTATTATTTAACAATTGGTTTGAGGTAATATTTATGAAAATTATTTCGTTTAAATTCATAGATATAATCTTAGATTTAGTTATTACAGAAAATTTATTTTATTCAATGTGAAAAATATATTAAACTCCCTAATGGCATCATTTTCTTAATGTGTATATAAATTATTCCAGAAAGAACACCTGTTGGAATTTCCGTGCGTGCTCTAAAATCAAATCACACTCGAGATAATGATAAAACTTTCAAAATTTTCTAAATTAGCATGAGCGCGTGACGCTCTATCAAGAAACTGGCCGCCAAATGTCCACTCAAAATTTGCATCGGACATCAATGACAATT